CCATACGGACTGTGGTCTCTTTAACGGTCCGTGGTGTTTTCTGTGATGTAATTTCCAGTGTGCAGGCATTGAAGACCCAAGTTGGGGAGTTCTAAGTGAAGACCACGAAGGGCTGCATGGATCGTGAAGCCCTTGACGAACCGTGGTAGCATCCGTGAGGTGTCCGGTAGTTCAGTTCTATTTCGAGTAGGACTCTTTTTGAAACATTTTATTTGAATTAATTAGGTCATTTTTCTTTTTATCTTGTCTGACCTTGAACGACGATCAAGTTTCCATTATTCTTTGTTTTGGTTTTTGATTTGAACATTGAATCAAGTTCGAAGTTTGGATTTCCGATTCTTGAATTATAAAACTAGCTTATTGATTTGCTTATTATCGTAAGTACTTTCTCAACATGTTTTCATTTTATATTTTTGAATGCTTACGTGAAATCATGAGTGGCTAAATACCACAACTGGGATTGTGGGATCTATGACGTGAATCGAAGTGTAATTCCGTAAAATGAGTGATAGGCGATTTATGTTAGCAACTTAGAATCTAGCTTTCATTCTTCACATATTCTGATGAGTGCACGTATTGGAGTGAGCCTGTATCTATTATTTGTTCGAGAGGAAAATAATAGTTAGGAAAAAGCTAAATTAACTGGAAGAAATGGAGTCAAAGTTTGAGTTCGAGAGAAAAGAACTTTAACACCATTGTAAACGAGGGTAAAGCTAGTAACACTCTGGGACCGAGAGGACTTGAGTGAACATTATCTGATTAGACTGAGAAGTATCAGATATATCTAACTCATTGTATTTTGTTGAGATAAATTTCCTGAAACTCAACTACGGAAAAACATTAGGTGTAACGTTATGGGAAACACAATCCTAGTTTCTTTTAATCATCGAAACAACTTGAGAACTGGAAACTCTGTTAATTGTTAATATGGATTTTTATGACAAATCTTAGTTACTAGAACATTACAACTAAACCCATTTTACTTTCAGTAATTGTGTCTTTAGGAAATAATAACGACATATGTGTAAAACGCGACAGTGAAATCATTTCTGTAAAGAAATTCTCTGTGGGAACGACCTCAACTCACGTTGAGTTCTGCAAATTGACTTTGACCGGTTATATCTCTTAATTGAGGTGTAAGTTTGGACGTATCAAATTTTGGCGCCGCTGCCGGGGAATTTCAATTCAGAAGTGTTTTACTAGCTTTTATTCTAGGTTTAGTTAGATTTCCTAATTTTACATCTAGTTCTTTGTCTATGTCTCTTTCAGGTGAGTACAACTGTGTATTCCAAATACCAGAAGTAAGAGAGCCCCATTAGTCCCATACGATCCAGAACTCCGGAAAACAATCCGCAAAATGGTGAACGCACAAGAACTTGAGGAGCAGAGATAGAGATTTGGATTGGAAGCTGAAACCATTGTAGGAGGTATTCAGCCGAATGTTGTGAACAACCCACCTAGGGTAGTGGATGAAAGCATAGCAGTGGATGGAATCATTCCTCCCCACCGCCAACTAATAGCTCCAAGAGGTAGAGCACAACATCCAGCTCATATGATGTATGAAGAGGATGACTTAGACTTGGACGGAGCTGGAGCAACTGGAGCGATAGTGTTACCTGCACTACCTCCAGGTGTTAAATTCACATTCACCAGTACTATGATTCAACTGTTGAATCTGAAAGGAATGTTCAAGGGTGCAGCTGGTGATGATGCTATCTCAACTTTCAGGCGATATGCAAATCGCAAGAAATTCCTGGGGTTAGCCAAACAACAATGAGACTGAGATTTTTCCCATTGTCTCTTACTGGAGAGGCAACAAATTGGTTGAATGAGATGCCTGATGACTCAATCAGGACTTGGACTGAACGGAAGGAAGCTTTCCTAGAACGATTCTTTGCGGATTCAAAAGAGTTGCAGATGAAAGATGAGATAAGTGCCCATAAGCAGCTACCAAGAGAAGCGATGCATGACACTTGGTGGAGACTCAGCCAAAAGCTGAAGAAGTGCCCAAACCATGGTCTCACTGAGAGACATCTAAAACATGCTTCCTGTAGATATTTGAATTATGTTACTAAACCTGTTGTTGATGCAGTGTGTGGAGGATCATTTATGAAGAAGACATTCTCAGAGAGCATGCAAATATTGGACGAAGTGTAAACGAATAACAGATCATGGTACACCAGGGATGCAGAAGTAGGAGATCTTGGGTACAAATTTGAGCTTTCAGCTAAACAACGGAAAAGAGAAGAAGAAAAGCATCAGGACATGGCACACATGAGGACCCAAATAGATCTACTTACGAAGAATATTGTCTCAAAGTATGAAAAGTTAAATGTTGTGGTACAGCCAAACAAGTATGAAGATCAGAATATCGATCTAGACGAGGAGGCTAATTACCTGGGCAACCAAGGTGGTTTCTGGAATTATAACTCAGGAAACCAAGGTTACAATTCTGGAAATGCAGGTCAGAACTACTCAAGGGAAAGATAGTATGATAGGCCGCCAAACAGAGATTAAGGAAATTGGTAGAACAGAGATGGGTATAGAAATTATCGCAGTGGTGTGTATGACCCCCCAGGTAATAGTGACCGGGCAAGTGGTAGTTCCAGTGGGTCTAAGCTGGAAGACATGTTGTCCAAGGTGCTCAAAAAAGTTGAATCATCTGATGCAGGGGTGAAGGAATTGAAAGGTGATTTCTCCAGTATGGGTCAACGGGTAGACTCTCACACCACCTCCATCAAGAAAATTGAGCAACAATTGGGGCAAATTTCAGCCTTATTAAATTAGAGGAAGAATGGGTCACTACCAAGTGACACGATCCAAAATCATAATAAGGACGGGCATTGAATGGCCATCGTCACCAAGAGTGGTAAGATTCTTAATGACCTAATTTCTGTAGGTACTAAACGTGAGCAGCTGTTGGAGCAAGCTGGAAGAGAGGAGGATGAAGCTGAACAAGTAGATGACTTGGAGGATGCTCAACCAATAGCAAAACTAGTAGGAGAAATAGAAAAAGAGGTTGAGGGAACTATGCCTCTTCAACAAATACCAAGACCACCTCCTCATTTCCCCCAATGGCTTAAAAAAAAAGTCGAAGATGGGAAATTTGTGAAGTTCATCACAATGTTGCGACAGCTGTCAGTAAACATAACCTTGGTGAAAGCCCCTGAGTAAATGCCAGGATATGTCAAGTTCATGAAAGACTTGGTTACAAAGAAGAAAGCTGTAAGTATTGATTTGACTAACCATGTTCATCACTGCAGTGCTATTGCTACCAGGTCTCTAATACAGAAGGAGGAGGATCGATGTGCATTCACCATACGATACACTATCAGATCAATCAAATTTGCAAAGGCCTTGTGTGACTTAAGGGCTAGTATAAACTTGATACCGCTAGCCATCTACCAGCACCTTAGGTTACGAGTTCCAAAACTCACAACCATGAGGTTGATGATGGCAGATAGGTCAGTTAAACGACCTGTGGGCATCCTATGTGATGTGCTCGTAAAGGTGGACACATTCATCTTTCCGACAGACTTTGTGATCTTGGATTGCGAAGTGGATTTTGAGGTTCCCATAATTTTGGGAAGACCATTTCTAGACACAAGACGAGCATTGGTAGATGTTGAGAAAGGAGAACTGAAGTTCAGACTCAACAAAGAAGAGGTAATGTTTAATATTTGTAGGTCAATAAAATAGCCACATGACATGAATATGGTGTCTACGATAGAGTTTTTGATGTAGAAGAGATATGAGCAACAATTGAGGAGATGATGGCTGTTGAAACATTAGCAGTCGCGTTGATGAACTTTGGGGCTGATTTTCGGTCTGATTATGTAGAGATCATGAATGCTTTGTAGGGAATGGGAGCACACTTTTATGCTCCAAAGAAATTGGACTTGGATTTAAAAAATAGGCCAAGTCCTCCAGCAAAACTATCTATTGAGTAGCCACCTATGTAGGAAATGAAACAGTTACCCAGCCACCTGAGGTATGTATTTTCGGGCACTAACAACACTTTACTTGTGATTTTGGCTACAGATTTGAATGATGAACAGGTCCAAGTTGTGATCAATACGTTAATAAAGTACAAAAGAGCTATCGGGTGGACCATTGCTGATATCATCGGGGTACCTCTGGGTATATGCACACATAAGATCCAACTTGAGGAGGACTGCAGCCCAAGCATTAAACACCAGCGGAGGTTAAACCCACCTATGCAAGAGGTGGTCAAAAAAGAGATCATCAAGTGGTTAGATGCTGGGATGGTGTACCCCATTTCTGATAGTCACTAGGTCAGCCCAGTGCAATGTGTTTTAAAAAATGGTGGTATGACTGTGGTAGTGAACGTAAAGAATGAGTTGGTCCAGCAGAGACCAGTCACTAGATGGTGAGTGTGCATGGACTACATGAAGCTGAACAAGTGGACCTTGAAGGATCACTTCCCGATGCCTTTCATGAACCATATTCTTGACATGTTGGCTGGAAAAGGGTGGTACTGCTTCTTAGCTTGATACTCTAGCTACAACAAGATATCAATTGCTCCTGAAGATCAGGAAATGACTACCTTTACATGTCCTTATGGCACCTTTGCATTTACACGCATGCCATTTGGACTATGTAATGCACCAACAACTTTTCAGAGGTGTATAATCTCTATTTTTTCGGACATGGTGGAGGACACTCTTGAGGTCTTCATGATGACTTTTCAGTGGTATGTGACACCTTTGATTACTGTTTGCTTAATCTTAGCAGGGCCCTACAGTGATGTGAGGAGGCCAACCTAGTGCTGAAATGGGAGAAGTGCCATTTCATGGTCAAGGAAGGCATAGTCCTTGGGCACAAGGTGTCACAAAAATGGGATAGAGGTCGACAAGGCCAAAATTGAGGTGATTGAAAAGTTGCCTCCACCTATTTGTGTGAAGGGTGTTCGAAGTTTCTTAGGACATGTCAGATTTTATAGGTGTTTCATCAAGGACTTCTAAAAAATTGCACACCCCATGTGCAAGCTTTTGGAGAAGGAGATGAGGTTCATTTTTGATGAGGCATATCTTAGAGCCTTTGAATGCCTAAAGGAGAAGCCAATTTCTTCCCCAGTGATCATTGGACCAGATTGGGCTGAGCCATTTGAGGTAATGTATGGTGCCAGTAGTACTGCTTTAGGAGTTGTGTTGGGGCAGAAGCGCAACAAGATGTTCAATCCGATTTACTATGCTAGTAAGTAACTAAATGGAGCACAACAAAATTACACAGTTACTTAACATGAACTATTGGATGTGGTGTATGCTTTCGAGAAATTCAGAGCTTACTTGTTGGGTACTAGAGTGATAGTCCATACGGATCATGCAGCTCTGAGATACCTCATGGAAAAGAAAGATGCCAAGCCAAGGTTAATCAGCTAGGTATTACTTCTTCAGGGGTTTGATTTTGAAGTCAAGGATATGAGAGGTTGTGAGAACAAGGTGGCTGATCACCTGTCTAGGTTGGAGGCTGAAAAGAAAGAGGAATGTGAGCAAGAAATCAATGATGCATTCCCGGATGAGCAGGTATTGGTTGCAATTCTTATTCCTTGGCTTGCTGATTTTGCTAATGTTCTTGTTAGTGATTTGATGCCCGGGGGGCTGACATTTCAGCAAAGGAAGAGGTTCCCGCATAATGTGGGTAAGTATTTCTGGGATGAACCTTACTTGTACAGGGTGTGTGCTGATAATATCATTAGGCGATGCGTCCTTGAACCTGAGATGTTGCACATTCTAGAGGCATGTCACTCCTCTCCGGTAGGTGGCCATCATGGAGGTGCTTGAGCAGCCCACAAGATACTTCAGTGTGGGTACTACTGGCCTACAATTCATCAGGATTAGATAGACATAGTAAGGAGTTGTGATGTGTGCCAGCGGCAAAAATCCATCTCTCGGTGCAATGAGTTACCCATGACACCTATTCTGGAGGTGGAGCTATTTAATGTGTGGGGAGTCAATTTCATGGGCCTATTTGTGAGCTCCTATGGGCAGAAGTACATATTGGTAGTAGTGGACTATGTGTCCAAATGGGTTGAAACAGTTGCTTTGCCTGAGAATGATAGCAAGAGTGTTGCTGGTTTTCTGAAAAAGAATATATTCTCAAGGTTCGGCACACCCAGAGATATCATTAGTGATGGCGGTTCCCATTTCTGCAACAAGGTATTTAGTGAACTTCTGGCCAAATATGGTGTTAAACAACACAAGGTGGCAACTCCTTATCATCCACATACCAATGGCCAAGTGGAGGTGTCAAATAGAGAGATTAAGGTGATTTTGGCTAAAACAGTAAATACCAACATGAGAGATTGGGCATGAAAGTTAGATGATGCTCTATGGGAATATCGGACAGCTTTCAAGACGCCTATTGGTATGTCTCTGTATCAATTGGTGTTTGGAAATGCATGTCATTTGTCGGTTGAGCTTGAGCATAAAACACTCTAGGCTTTAAAGAAGCTGAATCTAAGTTGGAGCGAAACAACAAACCTGAGACTGGATTAGATTAATAAGATGGATGAGTACCGTTTGAGAGCGTATGGGAGGTCTGCACTATACAAGGAGAGGATAAAGTTGTATCATGATAAGCATATTGAGAAGAGAACATTCTCTCCTGGTGACTTGGTGTTACTTTTCAAATCTAGACTTCGTCTGTTTTGTAAGAAGCTGAGATCCAAATGGTCTAGGCCTTTTAAGGTAACTCAGGTGTTTTAGTCGAGTACTATTGAGCTTGAGAACGACAAGGGTGAGAGGTTCAAGGCAAATGGTCAGCGAATCAAGGCATACTTGGTTGTTCCAGAAGAAGTAAAGATTATGGAAGAATATAAACTTGATGAAGTCTGAGTAATCAACTAACTTGCATCGCGCCGCGACGTTAAATTGTGCGCTTTTTGGGAGGCAACCCAAGATTTTATTTGTAATAGGTTGTTTACTTTTCCTCAATTTTTTCCTTGTTTTTATAGTTTCATTGTGTGTTGATGTGTGCAGGAAGGATTTGGGTGAAGAATTGCAGGTACTGGGTGCAGACAGTTCTTCATTAGCAACCCCACAGGCCGAGGTGTCCTTCACGGGCAACTTCACGACCCTTCAATCTCAGCACCAACAGAAGGAAGCTACTGGAAATTGCACGAAAAGGGTTCACAGAAGGGTTCACGGTTCGTCAAGGCTTTTACGGACCGTCTAGTCTCTCGTGAATCCCAGGTAAGCATTCTGTCCCAAGACATTTCCACGAACCACTGTACGGACCATGGTGACCTTCACGGGCACTTTCACGGTCGGTCATCCACAACCCAGTATTGGCAGTAAACCGACCTGATCAGCGCATGAAAAAAAATTGAAATTAAAACGTATATGTGCTTCCTAAGCGCCAAAATTCAGGGTTTTCCTCTTATTTTCTCTTCTCTAACGGTTCTTAAAGAGTTAAAAATGGTTCCCATCATCCATCAATCCTTAATTCATCAAAGAATCGAAGCCCTAATCCTAAGTTGTCAAGAATCTCAAGTCGTGTTCATTGATTCTTTTTTGTGAGTGAAATTTTCTTCTAAATTCCAAGTAAGTTCTCTTATCACTTGCTATAAGTTTGATCTTGTCTAAAAGTGAGTTAGAATTACTTTGACCTAGTCGAATTTCGCATGATCATGTGATGAACAAGCTATGTTAATGTGAACCGGTAGTGGATTTTGTCTAATTTGGGTGTAATCTCATGTGGGGTGGTTAAATTTGTGTAGAAATAGTGTTGATGTGTGGGTATGTGTATTTTGTATAAGTATCACGTTTTTTTGCAATTTTGCTTGATGAATGTCCATGAAGTAGTAGTCACGTTGTGCTTTTGTGCTAAATGAATGGGGGTTAGGTGCTGTCGACCTGTGGTGAAATTGGGGGAGACAATGGTTGGATGAATGGTCAAGTGTAAGATCATGAGAGGCTTCACGGACCGTTGAAGCCACCACAAGCCGTGAAACCACTCGTGGACCACACTTGAATTCCATCCACCCAGTAGATAGGTTCACGAGCATCATCACGAACCATGGTTCACTCCACGGGCCATGCAACCGTTCGTGAACAATACTTGGTTACACCACTGTTGCACACTGATTATGTTATCAATTCACGAGAGGTTTTACGGACCGTGGTACCTACCACGGCCTATGTGAGCTCCCGTATAGTTGACTAATTTTTTATAGTTTACCTTCTGTACTTTTATTCTTGTTTCGTCTTTTGATTCAGTGGACCTTCCCAATGATAGATTAGGTGATGACATTCTTAAGGCAATGAGTCACAATGTAATTACACAGGGGAAGTCTGAGTACCCGATAGTATGTCATTTCACTAATTTGGTTATTAATGGGTGTTTACATTGTTCAGGTACTATGGCACCCCGAAAAAAGAACACAGCTCCACATTCCTCACTTACTGCTTCACAATCTGAAGGCGATCATACTCAGGAATCTAGTAGTTCGGAGGTACAGATAAATTTTACACTGGAGGTTCACCCACCTCGAGGTACTAGATCCAGAATAGCGAGGGCAATTCTCGAGGACACTCATCTCCAGTCTGAAGAGGGAGGTAGTAGTTTCGGTAGCTGTGAAAAATTGGGAAGTGGATCCAGTGTTGGTTCAGTTAGCCAGTCTGATGATGGTTAGGGAGGCAGTGTAGAGTCCGAAGGTGGCTCACAGGAAGATGCTACTACATCTCCACCTGCAGTAGTACCGGAGGCTGACATTGGAGCTCAGACAAAGACATGTGCAGTAGAGGGGGATGATGAGGTAACTCAAGACGATACAATGGTCCAGTATGTTAGCCTCTGCGAATTTGACCCAGTATTGCGACAACAACTAATTGACTGTTTCAGATCCATGTGGATGATAAACAGGTCAGAAGATTTCTTCGAACATGGAATCGTGAAAAAGTCGGTGGGATTTAGAAAGAGACCACTCATGCTTGAGACTAGGGCAGTGATGGCGGATATCTAGGCACTTTCAGAGATTTATAGATTGTTCCAGAGATTTATAGATTGTATGCCCCTGGGGAATACACCGGCCATCTACCTTGAGAGTTCTATGCTATCTACGCCACCACACTAATGAACATTGCTGCGGAGACTGAAACAACAAAGAGAGTACATAAGACATTTGCAGCCACATTGGCTCTTTTAGACAGAGATTTATAGATTGCATTTGATAGTAGATTCTGTTAGCTGATAATTCACAGGCATAAGCATGATCAACTGTGAATAATGAGATGTCATATATTGATCCTTGCTTGTTAGATTCATCATTTTGGATGCAAATTGTAGTAGAGATGGCTGCTGCGTAAGTTCAAAAGTGTTCAAATTTTTTGAGGACTGAATGTATTGTTTTCTCATCACTTGAGGACAAGAAATGGTTCTAAGTTGAAGGTGTTGATGTGCCGCGAAATCTTGGCACATTTGATGCTCGAAAACTAAGAATTGATACTCTAATTGAGTGTATTTATGTGGATCTAATGTGTTTGGTAGTGTTTGTACATGTGAAACAAGTTGAAGGGAAAGAAGATGGAAATGATGAAACCTGAAATCTTAGTGCTGACAAATCAAGTGAAGATCACGGATGCCTTTACGGGTCATGAAGATCTAGACGGATAGTGATAACATCCGTGGTACAATTTCCAGTAGGCTAGCATGAAGACCCTAACTTGGGAAATTTTAAGTGAAGATCACGGACACCCAGACGGACCGTGGTCTCTTTTTAACGGTCTGTGGTGATGTCCATGATGCAACTTCCAGTATGCTGGCTTTGAAGACCCAAACTTGGGGAGTTCTAAGTGAAGGTCACGGACACCTTGACGGACCGTGGTCTCTTCAAAGGTCCGTGGTGTTGTCCGTGATGCAATTTCCAGTGTGATGACATTGAAGACCCAGACTTAGGGAGTTCCAAGTGAAGACCATGGACACCCAGACGGACGGTGGTCTCTTTAACGGTCTGTGATGTAATTTCCAGTGTGCAGGCATTGAAGACCTAGGTTGGCGAGCTCTAAGTGAATACCCCGAAGGGCTTCACGGACCATGAAGCCCTTGACGAACCATGGTAGCATATGTGAGGTGTCCGATAGTTAAGTTCTATTTCGAGTAGGACTCTTTTTGAAACGTTTTATTTGACTTAATTAGGTCGTTTATGTTTTTATCTTGTCTGACCTTGAACGACGAACAAGTTTACATTATTATTAATTTTGGTTTTCAATTTGAACATTAAATCAAGTTCGAAGTTTGGATTTCCGGTTCTTGAAATATCAAAGTAGCTTATTGATTTGCTTATTCTCGTAAGTACTTTCTCAACATGTTTTCATATTATATTTCTGAATGTTTATGTGAAATCATGAGTGGCTAAATACCACAATTGGGATTGTGGGATCTATGATGTGAATCGAAGTGTAATTTTGTAAAACAAGTGATAGGCAATTTATGTTTGGAACTTAGAATCTAGCTCTCATTATTCACGTATTCTGATGAGTGCACGCGTTGGAGTGAGCCTGTATATATTATTTTTTTGAGAGAAAAATAATAGTTAGGAAAATTCTAAATTAACTGGAAGAAATGGAGTCAAAGTTTGAGTTCGAGAGAAAAGACTTTAACACCACTGTGAACGAGGGTAAAACTAGTAACACTCTGGGACCGAGAAGACTTCAGTGAACATTATCTGATTAGGCTGAGAAGTATTAGATATATCTAACTTGTCTATTTTTTGTAGAGATAAATTGCCTGAAACTCAACTACGGAAGAACATTAGGTGTAACATTATGGGGAACACAATCCTAGTTTCTTTTAATCATCAAAACAACTTGAAAACTGAAAACTCTGTTAATTGTTAATCTGATTTTTATTACAAATCTTAAGTACTACAACATTACAACTAAATCCATTTTACTTTCCGTAATTGTTTCTTTAGGAATTAATAACGATATTTGAGTAAAATGTGACAGTGAAATTATTTATGTAAAGAAATTCTCTGTGGGATCGACCTCAACTCACGTTGAGTTTTGTAAATTGACGTCGACCATTTATATCTCCTAATTGAGGTGTAAGTTTGGACGCATCAGTCCGCGTCGCAAACCTGTTCCTTCAGAGTGAAACTTTCCTCTCCCGTCGCGGAGAGAACGTGGACTCCACTATTTCAAAAGTTATTTCGACCTAACATTATAATTCATCTCTGCATTGCGGAATTGCTCTCCAAATAGTGCTTTTCAACCGTTTCTCATTATTAACTATCTAAAACTCATTTAATCATCACGATATCCTTCCTATCATAAATCATAACCTTGAATTCATAATTCAAATTTAAGGTAGA